TTTTCAATACGAGCTTCAAAAAATTCTGTGTCTCTTCAACCTTGAATCGCTCAAAAAACTTCACGACGCAGTAACAAAAACAACGATGGCAGGATTGAAAACTTTTGAACGTAACTGCACTTACCTGCCACGTCTATGTGGCTTTAAGTTGGTAGTCATGTATTATTTTTGTATTGAAACTCCGCACGAGAAATAACTGCATGTGCGTCAGAGTTCATATTATTTATGATGTATCAACAAGAACCAACTGAAGGCTTTCATTTCGAGTAATATCGACATGGTTCATTACGTCGTCCAGTGACACAATCCATTCTTCAGATACGACTCTAACTCATGTTCAACGTTGCCACATCGTGCGCTACTCGAAAGCAGACTTGTCTGGCGAAATATCGTACTAGCGTTCACACGCATGACGTAATTGTATTTGGCCTCAGACACATGAAGCTATATACAACCCGACTCTGCTGCTTCTTATGTGCATAATTCACTACGCACGTGTGAATCGCTACATCGACCCTATCACAAAAAATTAAAATATCCACTCAAATTTCTAACTAATATTTCAAGAGCTTAAGCAGTGCAGTGGCGGTATCATTTAATATTTCTTGGTTCCATTCCCTGTTAGCACGAAATAGCTGTTTTCAGTACAAAGAAAACATGGCTCTGAATTCCAAACCCCCCGTTATCAGTAAAAAAACTTATGACGAATAAATTAGTTTATTGCCACGCCAATGTGAAATTTTATTAGATTACTTGCTATCGAATATTCGAATACGTAAGAAAAGTTAATTCTAGGTCACTCAACCCCTAAATTACCGAAGGTACCAAATGGACAGGGGGCCATATTGTTAAACATTTAAATGATATAACATGAAATACAACATTAAATACCACGAGTGAAACAAATATCGAGTGTCGAGTGAATTCTGAAGCATATTTCTACGTTCTGGAGGGAATGACAAAGGTAGATAATTAATCAAAACAAAAATCTTAAGATACTGATTAATATGTTGCACTTCAATATTTATTTGCCTATAATTTTCGCCTGTCAAATGGCATTTTATGTTATCACACGTAAATGCAGGCCTCCTCTTGTGCGAGTTAAAAGTTTCTGTGGCTGGAAAATACAAGTGAGGATGGAATACTTTACACTTCTCGACGGTTCCTCAAAATCAGTGGTAATATAAAGTAAAGAACATGAAAATACCAAATAACCACATCTTGCTAATAAAGCAACCTCTCTGATGCTCAAGCAATTATTAAAATTAACAAGAAATTTTCCACTGACCTGATTAGGTTGAAAAATCATGGTATCCTTGTCAATACCTGTACAATGCGTAGACACCCTGGAACATTTCCGAAAGAAAAGGGGGGGGGCAGATTCCGAAAAGCACCCAATGTTGATATTACATTGACCGATTACTAGAAATCTGATAATCGTCACACGTTGCACTTTGAAGGTTCACGAAAGAAGCACTCACTATAACACATTAATCCCAGCACTGCAATCCAGGCACTGTAATCCAAGTGGCACTGATACGGTCTTCAAGACACTTGCACCGTGCTACGAACGTCCTGTATTTGCAATAGCGAACAGATGGCACCAACCGACACACAACACAAATAACAACTCCGACGACGTACAACGTTGCAAAACAAAAACTTTACTTGCATGGCTTCGGATTCTAGCTTGGGGGGAGGGGATTATGTGCACAGCGTCCATACACAAAATCATCCTTTATTATTATTATTATTAATTCCGAAAAATGTACTGGGTACTGTTTCTATAAACAATCATAGCTTAGTGCATAACCTGAGATAAAAGTTAATCGACAAAAACAGTTTTCTTCATTTAAGGGCTTCAGAACTAAAAAATGTCGTACTTCGATCGTGATTTTCTTTATCCACTAAATCCAGCACCCTAACACCATGGAATAAAAAACAGTGCAAGCAATAAACATAAAGAATTAAGTTGGTATAGTTGCGTCATATTGTGAAGATATATATTTAATTAATTATTCTTGTCCGTCTATTCACAATTTAAAATTTAAAATTAAGATAATTAAAATATCATGTTTTGTTCCTTATCGAAACATAATATTTTAATTATCTTAATTTTAAATTTTAAATTGTGAATAGACGGACAAGAATAATTAATTAAATAAAGAATTAAAACCAAAATCGTCCTGTTTTTTACGTAGTCCTAACGAATGTTACTGTCGTGCTGTTTTTACGTAGTCCTAACGAATGTTACTTTCTTTATATTAAATCGTAGTGGTTTTGGTTACGATGTGCAGCAAAATGTGAGATATTTATTTTATGTTCATGATACGTTTTCAACGAAAATCATTAGCAAGCCTTTTTCACAATGGAATAACTGTGACGACAAGTTATTTATTTGTGGTTTGTGTTTTTAATTTTACGCAAAGACATCAACAAGAAGCCCAGCTCCCCTTCTTTGCTGACTTATCTGGCGTTCGTAAAAAAAATTAACTGAAATTAGTTCGTGTACCACGACGGGAACTCCAGTGGCGGCGCAAACTTTCGCCCTGCACTGCCTTTCAACGTAAAGTACTGAATTTATTCAAAAATCTAAAATTGTATTTTTTCATAGCCCAGCTATAAAGATCTACACCAAGTACCCAGCATGACCAGGCAATTATCAACAATCTCGTTTGTTTCTCCAGAGAGATGACGTCAATCAGCAAGTTAGGAGCTAGGCAAGGATGGATACTTTATTAGGGTACGGCGGGTCGCGGGGGGCAGTACTCACCCATGGGGGAAACGAGGGGCCACATACAGAGGGGCGGTGGAACCCCCTGGGATGGCTGCAGGCTCGTAATACTCCGTGCTTAGACATCGCTCGTCCAGTTTATGCTCCATGTTGTGAGCCTTGGATGCCGACTTGATATCCATGAAGGCCACAGTGGCGCAGAGACCAGTGGACCCGTCGTCCTCCTTGAGCCGCGGCAGCAACTTGACACTTTGAACCCGCCCATAGCTGCAAAAATCAAGGAGTCTGCTAAGAAACTAGTTCTAGACACCCGTGCATACGAAAATAACGCCAGCACAACGCTTTTCAAGTTTTACTCTAAAACATGCATCCACACATGAACGTACGTCTACATATCAATCTGTTTCCATCTACCCGTGTGTGTGGGTGGTGTTGTGTATACATACCACCAAACAAGTTTCGCAACTTTTTATTTCAAAATGACCTCAGAAGTTACCCATTTTATATACTCAATGGACACGTGTGTTGTATTTTCCTTGACGTATGAACTGAATTTAAAACATTGCTTAGGTGGCATTCAAAAGGTATTTGGAAATGTATCAATAAATGTCTTCTTGTCTGTTTTCAGCGAACAGTTTTAAGTGTGCAACATTCAACACGAAAACGTTTTGCTCAGCAGAGCACTATATTGACCTTGCACAGGATACTTACTAACTCCAGTGTAATCCAACGACCTGGTAACAAACTGATCTTTCCAGCCCCTATTTTCACTCAACCACTTTAAAAAAAATGTCGATTACTTCGTTCAGTCAATTGCGTGCACACATAATAGAGGTTTCATGTATCCGCGGTTCTTAATTTGTGTCCACATGAAAAAAAACATGGGTTTCCATACCAAGATATCCACACTTCCTAAGTCACGGATGATAATGACATTTGGGACTACTTTTTCTAGCTTCTAGAAGAGAGACCAGGCAGGAAAATTTTCTGGGCTTAAGTTTTAACCAACATCCACCTCAGACCAAAAGGTCTTGGTTCTGCCAGCCGCGATGTTTTCAGGAACATGTTTGCTACCGGCCAATTAGTATGACATAGATTTCTCGATCGTCGGACTGTCTTCATGGTGGTCACTTAACGTTTCGGACGATCGATCGTCTCGCCTCCAACTTCGCGCCGATGGTACGTTCCACCGAAACGCTCGTAACCATCACTTTCAACATCTTCACAGCCCTGGGAATATCAAACCTCCGATAAATTTGTATTCGTTAACAACTCAAAAATTTCACAAGATTGCCCTTTAAGCAAGCTGTATATGAAGTTTCACAAATAACACGTAAACAATACCTAAAACTTACAGCGCTTTGACTAATGTGGCCTTCAAGTGAGGGAGTCCCATAACCCAATTTATCTATTCTTTTTGCAGAGTGATAGATAAAACATACAATCCATTCATGCCACGTGTTCTATTTGATAAACAAATTACATTGAAATCAGAAAACAGAAACAATGTTTTTAGTGTTAGAAATGCCCACCGCGTTCACTCGTGTTTGATGTGACCGAGCGAGTAGTTCCTGTGTCACGGAAACGGTTCACCAGACGAGATATTGTCGATTTGTTTGGAGCAGGGGAAATGGGAAATGTATCCTTAAACTCATCCTGGCAAGTTAAGTTGTTCGACGACGTGAAAAAGGCATCCATGCACTTGACTGCTGAAACACAACAGACGGACTGGCGGGAGCAGCCACAAGATGACCCCTGACCTGCGCGGGCTCTTGTATAGTCACAGTGATATTGTGTGTTTATTAATCTAATGGAACTGTACTGACTGCAACCACCAACAAAATATTTTGGTGTGGGCTGCGTGACTGTTCGATCATAAGTAGAAAATCCCTATGATTCAGAACTAGATAAGACAAGTGTCAGATTTCTGACGTTACTTCACTGGATGAAACCTCGCGCTTGCAACTTTACTACGAACTACGTACAGCGCCAACGTGACTTCGCCAAAGACAATGGCCATTGGTAGAAACGATTCTTACAAAGAAACCAAGCATACCATGCACAAACGAAAACAGATCAATTTTCAGCTTCCCACAGCGTCGAGTACGAAGATGACTGTCTTCTGAGACGTTGCGGCATCGTCTCGTATAAATTTACCGACGTTTCAGGGGGGTGCTCACTGCTATCATCACCAGACCATATTTCTCTAAT